CTTGTCTTCTGATACATCGTTGTTGTCCAGAGTCTACCATTTTCAACATATTTCGTCTATTTAATCTTGTCAATGGCCCTTAGAAGGTTCATTAATTTTTAAATTAAGCACAAAATGTGTTTCAATGACCAGCCTTCAATTGATAAAACAAACTGTGCTGATGTCTCCCCAACAAATCAAATACAGTATTTATTTATTTAAATGTATATTATTTACGTTCAAAATTTAATGCATTTTTTTAAACGATAAAACTTATGTCCTTAAACTAAAAATCCTTTTTAGTGTAAGGATTATTATAAATTCAATTCGCCTAAATTCACTCTCCGGTGATTCAATATGGAGAAATGAATTCTCAAAGGACTACAGCAAGGTTAATTTACCATACATATTACATATGATTTTTCAATATATTGCGTATATATAGAGTATATTAAAAAATTATAACTTTTTCCCAATTACTCTGTAAGTGATTTGTCTTCACAATTACATTTTTTATTCAATTTAAGAGTCGAAAAATCTGAAAGTTGCTAAATTTAACTAAGTATGATTTCTCCTTTATTAATTGAATTGCATTTTGAATTAAAACACCGCGCATATTTGCTAATTATTATTTTATCTGTTTCTAGATACTTTCTGCAATTTGCTCCATTCAATAAGACATCAGTTGTGTGAAGCGAACGATCTCATTATTATTTTCATCGCATTTCTTTAGATATGTAAAAGTTACTTTGATTTTTATTACTAATGAACATTGTATCATCTGCATTCTCTAGTGCTTATCAGGATTTAAACGTTCATTTACGTCATGTTTAATTAGTTAAAAACTCATTCTCGATTCAACAAGAAAATATCAAAAGATTAAAGTTTAATTTTAAGAAATCTAAAAACTGAAATATTTAATTAAAAAGAATATACTACTACTAATGAGAGCGTATTCTGGATTCATATTTCAGCTGCAAAAGAGCTTACTTTTAAACGGAATAAATTACAAATGAATATAAGACGCATCTTGAAAATAGACTTGATTTGTTACACGAGACACTAATGCACAATGATTATATAGCAATCTTACTTTTCATCATTGTGTATCATGGATAAAAACAGAAAATGAAGCTACTATTAACAACAACATAAAAAAATTCCTAAAATCCGGATCGAATTCGAACCTGGATTCTTCATAAAAGCAGGAGAATCTCATATGGTGCCGGCAACAACCTTTAATGGGAAATGGAGCCTTTAATGTTTAAATTTATTGCCATACTTATCTTAAAAGAAAAACGCTGACATGTTTTATGTTTGTTTCCATTAATCCACAAATAACATTGAAGATTAATTATATAAAAATATTTTATTTATAAGAAATAGCTTTTATAAACATAATTTATTTCCGAAGCTTTGAAAGCAATTTAATTATAATTATTAAATCTAATAAGAGATGGTGCCTCACTCTAGTGACAAATTATAATTTAAAATAAATTGCAATATAATAGCCTGATATAATCTGGAAGTTGTTGGCTTATAACTACGGCCCTTTCAAAAGTTAGACAGACATTAAAAATGAAGAAAACATCCATTCTCATACTAACATTCATCTTAAGATGGCTGAAGAGCCCATGACAGCAATGTCAAGANCTCACTGCAAAAGAACAGAATTTATATTAATTAAAAATTATTTTCTCAAAATAATAATTTCCCTTAAAATATTTTGTTACTGCTATAATAAATATACAAATCTATTTTAGATAAAATACTAATCATCAACATTTTTCTTAAAAGTATTGTCTTATATTTATAACTTCAAGCAAAAGCTACTTTGTAATAAGTTTAAATAATTCTAATGTAAGCTAATCAAATAAATTATATATAATCAGGACTATCCAGACCTTAAAGTAAAACTGGCCTTTTTAGCCATTTTTTTTCCATATTTCTTTTTTTTTGAACAAATGAAACTATTAATAAATAGCAATCTTAAAGATTTTACTTTTTATTAGTAAAAATAACATTAATTTTATAAGAATAGAAATCACTACAGCCCCAGGTTTTCTCTGAATCTCAAAACAATCCCTGGCTTTTCCTCTTGACACCTTTTACATAATGACAATCTAATCTATGCCAGTAAGAACTAAAGAGAAATGGAGTAATCAATCAATCAATAAGTGCACCTCCAAGACAAAAGTTAATAATCATGGAGTTCCATCAACTATGATCTTGGGCTTCCTTCTTAGTCACATGGTTGTGCCTACTCCAGTTTTTGAGGCCTTCAATCCATATTCTTCTAGATCCATCCATTTTCTTGTATCTTTTGATCCATTCATTTTCTTTGTATCTTGGATCATACCATTTTCTTTTCAAGTATCCAACAGGATACTTGAAAAGTCATTCCTTGATGAGTCTCTCTCACATCCAGCATATCTCCAGTTCTTTGCTGCCTTTCTCCAGCTCTTCTCTAGATTTCTTCATTGGTAACTCTGTCGGCCATTTAATCTTTAGTGTCTAAAACATCAGCTTTCCAATGCATTTATTCTCCTCTGAATTTCTTTACTCCATGTCCATGTCTGTCATGCATATAGTATGACTGGCCATACATTTTGGAAGTCTGTATTTTAACTGCTGTATTGGGAGAAATTCTTTTCATTTCCAGAAAGTCTCTCTACAAATGTAATTCTTCTCTTGACTTCAGCAAGGCTGTTTCCTCATCATTGATGACCATGCTTCTGGTAGTTGAAGAAATCAATCATTTCTATATTTTCTCCTACATCAAAGAGATAATCTTCACTTTTTTATTATAAATCATTAACTTTGTTTTCTTAATATTTATTTTTGTATGGTATCCTATTTCTATTTTTCAATGCTTTTCTTAATTCCAATTTTTTCTCATTATCATCATCGTGTCATCTGCTTATTTGATATTGTTTACATTCTGTCCTCCAACATTAATGTCTTTATATCTTCTAGGCCTTTTCTGAATAGTGCATATACAGTACGATTTAAATTCAAAATGTGTTTTAAAAAATAAATGCCAGTAATTAAAACAGTGAATAAATTAATAGCTTTCTGTGAATGTCTAATCATCATCAAACAACTATAAAGTCTATTTGATGACTGTGATTAAGCAATAAAAAATAATACTGTAATTAATTAAGTAAATGACCAGCATTTGCAGTAAATATAATTCTGAAATATCATACTTTTCTATATCAGAACCATACATTTAATCTGAATACATAAGCATTTAATCCTTTAATCTTTTAATAATTCTAACAAAAAATTCTGCTTTTATATTAATTTTAAATTTAAATTTTAATATTTTGTAGCTATAATCCGTCTGTAATGCAAACCTTTTCATTCAAAATATATATAAATTTATTTATGCATATTTTATCTTAAAAAATCTAAAAATCATAAAATTTTACATTCCAAGATTATATTTGAATACATTTTGAATAATTTTGATATTTTTTATTATCTCAAGACATAATCTTTAAATATAATGAACCTATAATGGATTTATAACAAAATGATCATTAAAAACTGGTCTTATTAATTAATTCTTTATTTGATTTGTTATTGACACTATAATATAAACTTACAGATAATTGTTGTTGTCTTTAATTAGAAACATTATCTCTAAAATAAGGATTATTTGCATAGTATAAGTTTAGTTTATGTAAGACTTCTATTCCTTTCAAAACATTCATTAATCTTGTAAAAATTATAATTTATTTATTTATAAATTGATTACTGATGTTTAATATTATGAACCAACTAATATTGTTATTAATATTTCAAAGTTTACTAGTCTGTCTATTACTATTAGCTATAAAATATTTATATACACTGCTATTTACACATGATTTATTTAGTTTCCTAGAATTCAGATAAGTAAACAATACTCACATGCAAGAGTAAGTATTGCAAACTCTGAATACATTATAGTGTGCTTGAAAAACTGCTAATCTGTTAACTTCAAATAAATGCATTTTCTAAAATGTTTGTATAAGTATTATGTATTTTAGAAAACCTCTTCAATTACATTAAAATTCAAATAAAATTTTAATTGATGAAGCATACATTATTGGATTTTATAAGTAAATTCCAATAGTATAAATAGTAATATTTTGTATATTTATATTATATATATATTTCATATTTCTTGATATATATTTAAATAAATAAATCCTTTAATATTTCACTTTCAAAAACATATCAATATTTTGATTGATGTGTGCAAATAACTATGGATTATTTGTACACATCAATCAAGATAAATGTTCTTGTTAGAAAATATTATAATATAAAAATACAAGTTGTTGATATAGTTTTTATACAATATATGTTATTTGTAAAACATTTATACAGATATTCTTGAATAAAATTTGATTTAAATATAAATTTATCATTATTTTTTCAGTTTATCACAGTTAAATTATTTGTTGATTAAACATTGGTTAATAAGTCTAGAAATATTTATTAAATAGGAATAAAATTTCTAAGGAATATATTTTAAATTTAAGAATTTAAGGTAAAAATTGATTATTTCAAAATTACACAGCTACTTATTTATAAATATTGTACATATTCAAAATATCTTTGTAGTTGTAGCTTAGATGGGATAAAAAGATGATTGTTAAGTATATTCCATAGATAATTTATACCACATATCCTGCTAATAAAGTTTAGTTTAAAAATTTAACTAAAAGAATTTTTAAACATATTTAATAAATGTCGTTAAAATAAAATTGCCTTAATATTTTATCATAATTTTACGATAATTTAACATCTATTAAAAATTATACTTTGATGTACTGTACAAATACAAACACAAATCACAAAAAGAAAATTGTAATTATTGAAAACATGTTAGTCAACATTTTCTATTTTAAAGAAGAATTTAATTGAAAACAAAATCATTTATTTATACATAAATAAAATAATTCAAAAATATTACTTAAATATGTCATTTAATTTAAATTTTTCTAAAATTTTCAAAAAGTACAAAATTAAATTTTCACTATTTCAGCAATTATTTTTGATATTAATGATCCATTTGTAGATTCATACTCTTCTTCACCAATTGGCATCACTTGGATACGTGCAAAAGTTCCACCTACCAATCCTTTTGTTAATCTTTCTGGATTGATGCAGCAACATCCATTAACATCCTATTTAAAATTATATAAAATTTATTTATAAATAAAATAGATACTTATAAATTTCAAACAGATCAAATTTATTTCCAAATTATTCATCTTTAAAAGTACTAGTAAATGCAAATGAACTTTTTCTAATTTATACATGAGCATAAAACTTCTCATTTTCTTTTTGCATATTTTATCTACTCTTTACACCTCTAGATTTATAAATGAAGTTGACATTTTTATTCTGCCTATCATAAACTCTATTTAAACGTTTTTCAAGAATAATAAAAGTTAAAAACATTTTTAAAGATGTGTTTCAATGTAAAATGATAAGTTATTAAATAAATGTTGAATATAAATTTAGCTTAGAATATTATTTTACATTAATTTAAATTTTTACCGCATAAAATAAAAAGCTATAGAAAAGCTTTAAAATGAAATTATCATCATTTTAAACTGTTATTACATATTAATTTACATAATTATACATTTTAATTCATTTTATATAATCATATTATGTTAAAGGAAGTCAAACATGCATACACTTCCATAAATATAAGGACATATTTGATTAAATATTTATCATAAAATACATTTTATTAATGTAGCTACACCTATTAATAGATGCACCATCCTATTAATGTAAATCAATGGACACATATGACTAATATTCATCAGTTGATAGCAATTGCTAACATTCACTATTGATTATTAATTGACATTCATCTATCATGTTAACCTTACATCATATTCATTATAAACAGAATTAATATTGCAGAAAATAAATTTTTTTTAATAATATAAGCTTCATAACTTTTAGAGTAATTCTTTAAAAGCAAAAATTGAATTTCAACATAATTAACATTCAATATGGATTTAATGAATTTTCAAAATAATTACATGTAATGTAAAGTTTTTAAGTGTACATTTAAATTTATTACATTTTATAATAAAAATATATTAGTTAAATAATATGGGAAATAAAATTTTTACCAAATTTATTTATAGAAATATAAAATTTCTCTAAATACCAAATTTAAGAATGTGGCTCCATCTGTTATTTCCAGATATAAACAGAAAATTAAATTGTTACAATTTAAAGATGTAATAAAATTTTAAAATTTTGAATGCTGAAAAATTTATAATTGGTTATATATGTGTGTATATATATATAATTCTTTTGCTTGATTAATAAAGAATTAAAACACATTTAAAATATAAACATCTTTCAGTTTTTAACATATATATTTAAATTATTTTATAGTTATATTTGATATTTATGAATTTCAATTTAATCAAATAATTCACTTCATTTTCAATTGTCAATGTCCTTTTATAATTCCAAAGCATAAATTCCTGCAAGCCATTAAAAAATAATATCAACACTCATAGATGAACATACTGTAATCATATTCCAGAATAATAAAATTCCTGATTTTAGCAAGAGAATGAAAAATTGCACAAGTCCCTTTTAAAAATGAACTTTATAGCTTACTTTTTTTTAACAAGAGATACAATTCTTTATTAAAAAATTAAATTAAATGTTTGTAAATAAACAGAAAAATCATTCTTATTGTAAAATATTATACAGAAAAACATATCATAATTAATTTGCAATACTCAAAGTCTTATGAGCATATACTTCATAATTTTAAAATTTTTTGTATCTGCATGTTTTTTTTTAATTGTTGATGCTGTTGTTGTTGTTTGTTTTTAGTATTTTTTCCCCCTTTTGTATTTTATCTGTTCAAGGTTTTATGTTGATGTAGTGAGGAATATCTGTTGTCACGTGACATTTCTTAATCTATACCAGTGTTTCTCAACGGGGGCGATATCGCCTCCGTCGATTTTATTTCGGTAAACATTCATATAAATTAAAAGATATCATCTAGGGTTAAGGCTTTTATGTCAAACAGATGGCGCTACGAGTACGACGACCTAAGTTTGCTTTTCTGTGAGGCATTATGCTTTTCTATGAGGATGAACTTAAGTAGATCATCTTCTATCTATCTATCTACATAAATAAAAATGTAATGTTCGTTTGTTCCTACCGATTCCTTTGAAATTTGATACAACGCTGCATTCGAATACGCACGTGTTTTTTATATAATATACATATCGAAATTTCCCCCACCAGGGGAGATGGTTAGGATTAAGGCTTACCGTAAAGAACTCTGCTTCTATTTATACTATTTTAGATGCAGTTTATTGTGTTTTTTATTGCGTTTTAATAGGGTACGTCAACAGAATATACACTAAAAAGGGATTTTTCGATATTCCCCCGTGGGGGGAGAGAGACAGGATAAAGGCTTACCGTGAAGAACTTGGTTTCTATTATACTATTTTAGATGCGGTATTTTGCGTTTTTGATTGCGTTTAATAGGGTACGTCAACAGAATGTACACTAAGAAGGGATTTTTTGAAAAATTCCCCCTATGGGAAAAGTGTTATACATTTATAATAGATACATTTTGAGCCACAACAACGCCTGGCGGGGTCTGCTAGTTATAAATAAAATAAAGTAAATAAAACAATACAACAATAAAAATTAGCATGAAATAATGTTTGTTGATCTAAGCATTAAATATCTGTAAACACTATTCAGTAAGGATTTTTAAATAATATTTTTTATACAATGACTCACTAAGTCATATCATATTTAAGAAGTTTGCATCTTTTCAAAATCAAAGATGACATTGTGTTTTTAGTAATCAATCACTTGAGTTATTTAAAGGCATATGCTTATGAATATTTGAGAAAATAACAATAACTTCAACAATAATAAAAATTAATATGATCATATAAACTAAGGAAAAATTTTATAATGAATGAAGTCATAGATTTATCACTTTGAACTATAAATTAAAATAAATCACCATCTATTCTTTCTTATAGGAAAATTTTAAAAGAACATATTTAGAAAAGTATGCAATATACAACAGATATACATTTATTAAAATTGAATTTATTCTTAAAATATTTTCAGAGTTTTATAATATTCTTATGATCAGAAAAAATTTTTGATATAATTTGATTAATACTTTTGACTAAAGTTCCTCAATAGTACAGAACAGTTCAGTCTATTAAGTGATTGTATTACTTAAATTTCCAAATTTAATTAAATATTCTTACTTAAATTCAATTAAAAATTTTTTGATATTAAGTAAGTTGACTTAATTCAACAATTTAATATTAAAGATACATGAATAAAATTTCAGTAATATAAAACAAATATGGAAGATATAAAAAAATATAAAATAATCCAATATATTTGATACTTTTGGCTCGTTAAAGTGTATAAGTGAAACACATTTAAACTCTAGAAGTAATAAATGTAACCAAAAGACCTTCATATGTGAGAGTATAAAACTAAGGATCACAGAACTGCACAGAAAATACTTTCCTAAAAAATTATGATAATAGTTGTCAAGAAATTCTACAATATATCAATTGGTTGAAATTAAAGGAGCAGTTCCAAAATACAAACTTTAGAAGTTTATATATCTGTAGACTATAAGCATATGTTCAAGTTCTACATAAGTAGGACCCATAGACCTCTAGAAGCCAGATTTCAAGGGCATAAGGCAAAAGTTTTAAGTGTAAATAACTATGGCCTATAAACNGGCGGCTCCAACCTTTAATGGGAAATGGAGCCTTTAATGTTTAAATTTATTGCCATACTTATCTTAAAAGAAAAACGCTGACATGTTTTATGTTTGTTTCCATTAATCCACAAATAACATTGAAGATTAATTATATAAAAATATTTTATTTATAAGAAATAGCTTTTATAAACATAATTTATTTCCGAAGCTTTGAAAGCAATTTAATTATAATTATTAAATCTAATAAGAGATGGTGCCTCACTCTAGTGACAAATTATAATTTAAAATAAATTGCAATATAATAGCCTGATATAATCTGGAAGTTGTTGGCTTATAACTACGGCCCTTTCAAAAGTTAGACAGACATTAAAAATGAAGAAAACATCCATTCTCATACTAACATTCATCTTAAGATGGCTGAAGAGCCCATGACAGCAATGTCAAGAGAATCATTGGTCAGTAAATAGCAAATAAATGCTCATTTAATCTGTAAATTTGGACACTTGCACAATGTGAAATTACAAATTTTAAGTTAAAATTCAGTTATAAAACATAAGACTAGTGAAAACCTCGTCTTTTTCAAAATCCTTCGAAAGCCTGAAGAAGTCCCATCTGGGCTCTTCTTCAGGATTCTTTTTTTATTCAAAACAATCTGGTAGTCAACAGGAAGAGGATAAGGAGAGGATCCCCCTCATTTTTAACCCCCATTTAAAATCCTTGTACATCACAATTACCAACAGATGTCAGGTCAATATTGCCTACAGGAGATGCCCATCCATTTTCAACATACTGTGGAATGAAAAAGACCCTCCAAACCCTGACAGACTACCAGGCCATTTATAGCATACCTACCAGAGACCTAGCAGATGGGATAGGGAAATGATGTACTGTACATTGGCTCCACTAAATGTGCAATGGGAGTCAGGATATGCGACATACAACATAATAGAGGTACACATAAGTGGAGAGGGCAGTTGTGCCTTCTCCACTTATGTGACAGACCCAGATATTACGGCAGACTTCACCAGAGCCTGTATCATCCTTACCACCCTGCATCTGGAACATCTCAAATGGTTGGAAACAATCAAAATTTTTAAGGCTTGCTGCAGAACCACCTGTATTAATTTTAGGGAGGAAATGTGCCTTTCGATGGCATGGCAGGCTCTACTAGACAATAATATTTAACTTTAAATCATATTTAAAGTGAAACGCATGTGCATTCAAAATCATCATATTGTTTGATCTTATTTAAACATCTTAAGGGGAATGCATGTGCATATGGTATCTGATATCTATCATACGATTTAAATTCAAATGTTAACTGCTAGCTTGTTTTGTATAAAAAAGAAACCCAGAAGGGGCTATAAAAATGTTTGCAATTTTTAATCATATGCAGACTGCTCAACTGGTTAATCTGAG